ATCTATGAGATTACCTCAGGGCGCCTTCTAAGAGAAAAGAAGTGTGTGCGTGTGGGAAACCTACGGGACTCTTTAGAGGAAAACAACTTACACCTCAGTCATACATACATGTATATTTCAAAACAAAATTAAATTTACAATAAAAAAAAAATCAGAGGGTATAAAAAAAACCGCAACGGAGCGCGTCAGAGCCGAGCTGATGGTGCTCGGTGCCTCCTCGTCGTCCCTCCAGGAGGTTACTTCCTCTTCCGCCCGAGTCAGCTATTTATATTGGATATGGATAAAAGTTTAACAAATTTGTAATTATAAGTTTAAGTACGTAACTCTTGGGTACGGCTGTCCGCTTGCGTCGTGAGCCGCGCAATCACCAGCCTTGCCAGAGGGTACCAAGAAACTTGAGTCTGTACCAGAAGGCCACAAAAGAGCAAGCACGCCGTCTGAGACTGACCGTCTTGAGCCCGAAATCTGGGACCCTACGAATGGATTAGCACTCATATAATTAAACAGGTTCCAGAAACAAATAGGTTTAAGTAGAATTAAGAACATACTCACCACTTTAGTGTGGGTACTTTGAACAGATAATATATTAAGAAAATCAAATCACACAGCAATCAAAACACTATATAAGATCGGAAGGCACGAGATAGCAGTGTCTCCCGTGGCAGAAAGCCGGACTTATATATCCTAGGTTCAGGAAGCTTCCAGACTTTATCCCTACTCAACATTTTACTTTGACATTTAACATCAGTGAACACAGAAGATCAAAACTGTAGTTATAAACTACCTTAGATAAATTAAAAACAATGCAACGCGGCTAATAGATGTAGCTTTTAACAAGACCAACAAATGTACAAAAAAAATAACTGTTACAATCTGACACACAACACCATCTAGTTTCAAACTAAGCAAAGCTTGTACTATGGTAACCAGACTGTTGATAAACATCACACTTAATTATTATATGTATATAGAGGTATGTGAAGTTATAACTATATAATATCTATTGTATTTGTTTAAAAAGGGATATAAAGACTCTGCTTACAGATGTTTAAACTCCTAAGTTAAAATACTGAATACTCGTTTAAGTTCTTATTCAAAATATGTTTATTTTATACACAATGTAACCGCCATCTTTATTTATTGAAATTAGCTGAGAAAACCGTTTAGTCTGTAATTCTCATCCAGATGATTCTATATGATTATTATTATGCAATTATTTTAACATGTTATGGGACCACCTTTAACGCTAAACATTAGGTCTTGCAGAACAAGGTTTCAAGAAACTTGGAATGCAATAATAACGCTTATCTTGATATCGTTCCTCTGGTATTACCTATGCAAATGTTGTAAAATTATACAAAGTTTTCAAACAAAAAGCGCCCATGCGCATTTAGTACATAGAAATTACTATTTATCTCATGTTTATTAAGTTAACAATAATATTTTCACACATTTCACACACGGCCGCCTGATTCCAAATTAGGCAGAGCAGACTGCTGATACCATACTTATATATTTATAAATACATTCATATTATAGATAAATTGCACCCAGACACAGAACAAATGGCCGTGCTCATCACACAATTATTTGTCCTGGGTAGGAATCGAACCCACGACCTCTGGATTAGCAGTCAGGGTCACTAACCTCTAGAACCAGTCGAATAAGTCTAGAACTGACGTAAAGGAAAGTTAATCTCGCTTTTATTTGACATCTTCTGCATTAAAAAGGCCACATCGAGCTTTACACGTCTAAAAAAATATGTTAACCTGTCAAATTAAGTATATAAACCATTACAATGGCAGTTTAGTTATACAGGTCAATGGCCGGGCCTGATGGTCTAGTCTAACTGTTAGTGACCCTGACTGCTAAGGCGAGGGTTGTGGGTTCGGTTCCCGCGCAGGACAAACAATTAGTAGTGTTGATCGCGATCATTTTTTATGTTCTGTGTCTGGATATATATTTTTTTTTTTCTTTTAAAAAAACAACGCCCACATTAGGAATATATCCTGTGTCGCGGGGGACTTTACAAACATACATGAAACGGACACAAAGAACACCCAGACTCAGAACAACAATTTGTGGATCACACAAAGTGTCGTCCCATGTGGGGTTTGAACCCACAACACTCGGCGTAGTAAACACTTAAACCACTACGCCATCCGTGCAGTCAATTGATCTATAAATATGTAAATTATTAATATTTAAGTATATTTATCAGCATTCTGGTTATTATATCACAGACTCTGCCTAGTTTGAGATCAGACTGTATATCAGATGTGTGAGGTTATTATTATATTCTTAAATAAGAAAAAACAAAAAAAAATCGAAATTCAACCATTTGGGGTTCCCACATCTCTAGATACACATGTTACCTACATGTGAAAAAAAAATACATTGAATAGGGCATGTGTACAGTCAACTACGAATAAATGAAGGGGTATGGAAACAACTCTTATTAAATTGTAGTGAATGAGTACAAGTTACAGTAACCTGATGCGGATCGATTATTTTGTTCTACCTTATAGCAGAGAGTACACCGGTGTGTAATTTTCTATTGTAATGTGACACACATACCTTCCTTTTAGATTCGAGTTAACAAAGTTTTGATACTATCTGTATAGAGTTTCAATTCGAAAACTACCGTCTGTACAAAAAAAAAATTGTGGAAAAATTGCCAATTGAGCTTCAACAATTGGGCCGGCGAACACCAAAGTCACACACAAAACCGGTGTTAAGCCATTCCAAGCAAAACAAGTGAGCGCGGTTACTGGTAACTAACCAGTTGTTGACTCTTGAGTTGCATGGCAGCAGTCACTTACCATTAGGTAAACGGCAGGTGAAGGCACGCCTTCATCGCGGCGGTAAGACCCGGATTGGCTCGAGAGGCATCACGGGACCCTCTTATGCCGATTGACGCAGGTGATCACTGGGAAAGGATGTTTCGGGGATCACCTGTGTGGTCAGCATACAGGTGATCCACACGCTGGCAGAATGTCCGGCGTGGAGCAGAGGCGAGGTCTCGTGGCGGCCATCGCAGTGGAAGTTCTCTCGCTCGATAACCTGATTGCGGCTATCGTGCGGAGCGAGAGTGCGGGGAACTCTGCCGTCTCCTTCTGCGAACAAGTTATGAGAGCACAGCTTCCGGGAGCACAGAGGGACCATTGGGGTTCCCACGCAGGGGGGGTCGTCTACCCGCTGTAGATGGCCCGAGGTACGTCGGGGCACCAGGGATTTCCTTTCTAGGGTACACCTGGTTCCCCGACTACTTGTAGGGTTTTAGTTGGTTCGAGTCCGACATTGCCACCGGTAAGTGGTATCCGAGGGGATTTCAACACAGAAAAAAAAGGTAAACCGTCTGCTCGTTCGCATACTATACTATCAAAAACTGCGTCTTCAATCACATGATAGATAGGGATTTGCCACCTACGCCACTTGGATCCAATGCAGTCTCAGTCGGGTTTGTCAAGGAGTGATGGTGTTAGCCTGATCGCCAGCCATGAAAGAAATCAGCCACCACTATTTGCGGTGTAACATATTTCACTGCACGGACTGCGCGGTTTGACTGCACGGATGGCGTAGTGGTTTAAGCGGTCGCCACGCACCACACACTTTGTGCCATCCACAAATTTTTGTTCTGAGTCTGAGTGTTCTTTATGTCCGTTTCATGTGTGCGTGTAAAGTCCCCCGCAACACAGGAGATATTCCTAATGCGGGAGTTGTCTTTCTAAAAAGATAAAAAGAAAAAAAATGCGTTGAACTCATATTAAAATAGGGAAAAGTTTAGGAAGTCGATGATGATGATAACATTATTTTTGCAATAATTGCGCACGTTGAGAGAGGCTTTATGTTCAATAGTGGACTGAAGTGATTGCTTGATTGATTGTTTTAAGGACTATAAATAAATTAATACGTTCAGAAATTATTATATAATCAGTTTTGCTCAATATCGTAACGCCTACTACCTTGTTATGATAGCAAAAAGTGTGAGAACTGCACATGTACGAGTATGATTATTACGGTTCGTCGGCTGTGAGGGGCACACTTTTTGTATGATAGACAGGTGTGCACAAGAATCAGGTAGCTAATAATGGCTCTCGTGTTCACACTTTAACGTCTCGCATTACGTTCTCAACGTGATCTAAATAAAATAAATATTCGTTTCATACATAGTATAGAGTACTAAAATGAATTGATATTTATTTCTGTAAGTAAATCTTGTCAGATATTTTTACAAGTCGGACTTTATAGCTAGATGGAGGCGGCATTTCCTAAGACTCACTCTGGGAAGAAACGACGAAACAAACCACATGTGTCTTTTTTTTTTAGTCCGTAAACAAAGTTAAAGAAAACTGTGCGAGTATAATAGCAGTCCGTTACACAAACCGCTACGCCATCCGCCATCCATTTACTTTATTACTTAGTGACAGTCAGTGAATTGACGTATTAAGAATTCAGAGTGTCACCACCCTGATTCATATCGTGGGTGCCGTAATAGCCGACCACGGGAGCAAACTACGCAGGACAACAGCACTGCAAAGAGAAGGATAACTTAGATCAAACCATAGGGTTTGTTTTAACCAACCCGTCCAACCCGTCTGGCCAGCGTGGTATAGTAGGCCAAAACCTCCTTTCTAAGGAGAGGTATATGTCGTTTGCCGTACAAAAGCAGTTTTAATGCACTTGCTTCACTGTGCTACTTAGTATACCTTGTCTTTATTATTTATGATACTAGTTATAAATTCGAGTGCGCCGACTACCTGCATTAATCTTAATTATCTACTGAACAAGACAGCTACTGATACAGGTTAAATGCTCTCTTTGAAGTACCGACAATCCAAACAGACATTGATAATAAAGAATAAAATAAATACTGACACTGATAGATGTAACTTAGTTATAATCAACATTATAAAGATACCATTACCAAATTAAACTCTAAAAGAATTTATGTCAAAATGTGTAAAATTTTAACGAGTCAAACATAATAATAATATATTATGTGTACATGTGAGTATTGTTTGTGTGATATTTTTAGAATCATAATATGATAGACCCTAGTGAACTACATAAAACCCTAACAATATTAGGGACAGTCCAGATTTTTGAAACAAAACTCATGTTTATAATCACACAATTTGAACTTAAAAAAAATATGTATAAAGCTGGTATAATAGGAATGAAGGTATCGGTATACCAAGGATATTAATGAAATTTATGGATTTAGATGCATATGTGTGCATAAAACTTGAATCACCAGAAAAAGAAAAAAAGACAATACTATTCGAGATAAGTTTTGTGCTTAAAAATTAAATCAACAATACGTATATTAATAACATGGCATCATGCTTTATGTCTTTTCTAACACGTTACTAACATGTATTACGTGACGGCTGGTGTTATCTTTCGTTGCTGTTTTCATGAATTTTCAGTAATTTTAGTCATCGTTAGAATCATGGATTCATCAGATACAAAGTTCATTTCAAGATATACTTTAAATTCGATAGTTGCGATAAACAAATTGAGAGCGAAATCCTAAATAACTCTTTTACTTACAGATCCTGAACATACAACAAGAGAGATAAGACCAGAATACATACACCCAGATGGTCTTCTCAACTTTGACCCGTACCTCTCCGATTTCAAAACAGAAACAGAAGAAGAAGATGATTACATACCTCTACCAGAAAACGATGAAACTATAGACGGCCTACCAATATTTCTTCTAGAACCTAAAAATTCTTATGTACTAAGGAATAGACCAGCAAATTTGCTTTGTAGAGCTGCAAATGCTTTACAAGTATACTTTAAATGTAATGATGTGAAGACAGATAAAACTGTTCAGTTAGAACATGTTGACCCTCATAATGGAGTGAGGGTTGTTGAAGCAGAACTAAATGTTACTAGAAATGAACTCGATGGGAGTAGCAATAAGTATGGTTGTGAATGTTACGCTTGGAATAGCAAGGGCAAGATACGAAGTCAAAGTATTTTTATCGAATTCGCATGTAAGTATTACTATAAATGATTATTGTTATTCAATCAGTGAGCATCATAATTGTAATAATTTGTATCCGAATGTTCTTTATTATACTTTAAATAATAATGGGTGAATAACGTTGCCATTTTTTTGTACTGTTTCCATTGTGATAGTGTTATTGTACTTGTCTTTGTACATTTTCTTTTATAGCACCATGAGTACGTGGTATAATGGCGAAACTTCGTCATTATCATCAGCCTATCGCACTCCACTGCTGGACATAGGCCTCTCCCATTGCACGCTACTTAGATCGATTTTGGGCTTCTCGCATCCAGCTACTTCCAGCCATCTTCCGCAAATGGTCACTCCACATGACCAGTGGGGGAAACTTAATTGTACAAAATGTTCTATGAAAAGTACACATTACGCAAAAGACGCATATTTCGCTAAGTCTAAATATTCGTCGTAGACTCGCCTTTATTACTTAACGCTGTTTCAATGCGCCTTACTCATCATCATCTTCTTATTACGCACTTATTTAGGGTCGGTGCAATGAGTTATCTTCTTCTATTCTCCTATATCACTGGACAACATCTCTTGCGCAGTCATTCCTTACATTGCAAAATGGTTTTGTCTTTTTTCTTTTATAGCCGGCCGCTTACCTGGCGCCAACCATTCTTTGGAATGTAATCGTTGATAGTCCGAATCGAAATTGACTTGGTTCTTCTGTTCCTTTTTTAAATATGCCATCAATATTGAATATTAATTGAGCTCCATATAAAGTCTAACCATCATATCCCCCCCGTCGTTCGAAGAACTACCGGAGCATGCCCTTCCTCATAAATATTCTGAACATAATAACGGGTGTAATTAAAAATTTTACGACTGTTATAAGGAGGATTAAAAGCCTCTCTCTTAGTTTTGTTTTCATTAATATATTTTGTTCCAACATCTTAATAGTTTCCGCTCTTTAATGGAGTTCTCGTTTCAAAATGATTAACATTTAAATGTTTCTATTCTTTAAAATTGAAATCTCTTTATTTTGTAAATGGCAATAAATCGATTGGTAATGTCTATGCTTGCGTTCTTAATGTAAAATATTATGACTAGTTATTTATAATAAAAGTTTAACGTTTTAATCTATCTGTGTTTAATTACGAGTCTGTTGGTCTAGTGGTTAGTGCGACTGCTGAGCTGTGTTTGGTTTTCTGTGAGGGCGAGGTATAACTCCGATCTAGGCTGCCCATTTGTGTCGAAGCACGGCTCTGCCCCGGCTTTTTTTATTTTTTTCAAAGACATCTCCCTCATTAGAAATATATGTTGTGTCGCGGGGGACTTTACAAACATACATGAAACGAACACAAAGAACACCCAGACTCAGAACGACAATTTGTGGATCACACAAAGTGTCGTCCCATGTGGAGATCGGACCCACAAAACTCAGCGTAGTAGTGAGCGGCGGTTAGTTGCTATTAGTTAGAATTTTTCACACAGTGATCTCTGGAATTCTAGGTGTAAACTAAAAGCTTGCGCTTTGTATTCTAGAACAAAGATAAATGTACGAAGTGGTGAAGGTATATTCAAATAGTGATATTTAAACTAAGGATTAAAAAAGTATGCCCTAATTTCGTTCATTGGAGCTTCATATGTTATAACAACAGTTTAAATACAACACAATATTACACAGTATGTCATGTAACAAAATCTTCAAGACCAAATTTAGGTTCCCCAGTCCCATACCGTACCATAACAGAAATCTATAGCAAAGTTCGCCATCGAATCGACGGATAAGTCGCGGAGGAGATCACTCTTGACAGTTATACTGGTGTTATTACGTGTTTAATAATAGCCTTTGATAGTCCACAGCTGGACATAGGCCTCTCCTTAGAAAGGAGGTATTGGCCTACTAATAAAAGTCTATTTAAAATTAAAACCATAAATTTTTGGCTAGAAATATCATGGCTGTAAAAAAATTGTTAAAAAACAAAAAAATACGACCCCATCAACAGACTTCGTCATTACTTCCTCCCCTATTCCGTTCGAAAAATAAAATAAGACGCAACTGCCAATGGTAACACAAAACTCCCGAAAGTAACGCATAAATTGTCACAATAAGAGGACCAAAATAAAATGGAGTGCAGACAATTAACGGCTGCCATTGTCTAGAAATAAACACCCCACGCCGCGGGAAGACATGCCATGTTGAAACAAATAATCATCTGAGTGAAATTTGAAACATTAATTGTTGAAGACAACTTTTAAGTTTGAAATTTAACTTATATAAATACTTTAAAGTTAATGTAATACGTGTGTTAGGTTCGGACTGCACTGATAAGAAATTGGGACTCACATATGGAAGTATTTTTTAAATCTCTTTCACCATATCATTCTTTTTTCACGCTAAATATACGGATATCCGTGTGGTGACGGACTAAGAATACAGAGTGTCACCACCCCTATTCATCCCGTGGGTGTCGTAAGAGCCTACTAAGGGAGTAAACTTCGCAGGACAACAGCACTGCAAAGAGAAGGAAAACTTGAAACAAACCCTATACCAACCCGTCTGGCCAGCGTGGCATAGTAGGCCAAAACCTCCTTTCTGAGGATAGGCCTATGTCCAGCAGTGGACTAGTAAAGGCTGTTGATGATGATTGATGAAATATACGGATACCTGCTACTAAAGAGTTATAAATGCGATGTAGCCCTTTGGGTCCCTAAATAATTGTGGGAGAGCGATTAAAGCCACCTGCATCTTCACTAACTCGGTGAAAAGCAACTCAGAAATTCCTTGACACCAGCGTTTTTTTTTCTTTATTATTCGAATAAATGCTTTTTATTAACTGACTGACTGCACGGATGGCGTAGTGGTTTAAGCGGTCACCTCGCCGCTTCCTACTGCGCTGAGTGTTGTGGGTCCGATCCCCACATGGGACAACACTTTGTGTGATTCACAAATTGTTGTTCTGAGTCTGGGTATTCTTTGTGTCCGTTTAATGTACATATACATTCACAAGTACATATACATACAAGATGCATTCCTAGTGCGGGAGTAGTCTTTCACTAAAAAAGAAAGTTATTAGATAATAAAACTCGGGTGTGTAAAGTAGATGTAAACCTGGAATAGGGCAAGACTCAAAGGGCTGAAGTCTACTCACGACTCTTAACTTGCAGGAGTCCATTAATGGAGTCCAAAGTCCTTACATAAGATGGCCCGTCTGATCGCTATCGATCCCTATACCACAAAAAATAAACGGTTACAATTAAAATAAATAAAAAAGTTAGGAGCAGGAAAAAAATGTTCAGTTTACAATTTAATATAATTATTAGAACATCGTAAAAGGGTTCGTTCTCATAATATATTCCACACATAAAGTCAAGTCTTTACAATGAAAAAATGTTTATTTAGAAACACAAAGAAAAGAAATTACAGGAGTGCTTAACAAGACATAAAATAACTGTAGCAGATCTTATCAGATCTTATCAGAAACGCGGTCACCACACTAGGCAAGCCTGTATCGTGGGGTTCCTGCACTTCACAATTTTTAAACAAATTAGAAAGACAGAAAAAAAACTATAGCTAACCATATAACAATAGACACACTATTCTAGGAAGATGAGAACATAATTCTACTTATACATCAATGTAACATGACTAGCAATCCTGTTAAGTTTATAGGCATTGTAGGCACTGGCGATTGTCTATTACCACAAACATTATGGCGCGAATACTATGAAGTAAGTGTTCGTAAATTCAGCGAACCTTAATAGATAAATACATATAAAACATTTTCTTCAATATAAGTCAGTTAGTTTTGACATTTAGTAGGAAACTGCAGTAAATTTTATATTACCCTGATATGTTTTATTTAGATTTTCTGGTCAGTACTGATCGTTTAAAACAGTAAACTTTAACAGTAGTCAGTATTTAAATATACATAATATATGAATATTGTATTTATTTGTATATATATTTAGCTGTATGTATGTATTCTTATTATTATATAACATTTTGCCATTTCCAGCATTGGTTCTTTCAAAGGCGACTGGTAAATAATGCCTTGTGGCTTTAGGTTTGCCTCATGCAATGTAAATGCAGCAAATTTTTAATAACTCCTATTGTATATTTTTTTTTGCGTTTAATAGAATTTATTTCAGTCTATAACCACTTTAGGTTTTGTATACATATATTAAAAATATGTAGTTGACGTATTTTTATAACACGACTTAAGTGGAATGTTCGATTAAGGTGAAATAATTAACAAATTGTATTTTTTTTCTTTGTATTAACTACATGGTCGGTTAAAATCCTTGGTGTTACCGGCCATAGCCAAACTGTGTTACAACTGAAGGGGTGTATTTACACGCCTTAAGCTTCGACAAGTATCCACAAACACAAGCGTGTAAACGGGGCGTTTGGCTTGGCTTGTGCGAGCTTGTCGTCGATCGGGGCTAGTGTCAGTTTTTGTACACAGATCGAAGGAAGCTTACGGCAAGCGTTTGGATCGTGCTTGTTCCCTACTGCTCAATTTGATATTAGTTGAGCAGTTGGGAATCAACATTAAGTCTCAATGCTATACTGCTTGAGCAGTATGGCTTGAATATCTTTTTTTTAGTTTAGTGCCGCTGTATATATTTTGATTAAAAAGATATTCACGTCTGCTAGGTTTGCCTATCCGGAACACACTGACACAATCGTAAGCGTGTAAATGGCATCTAAGCGTTTTTAGACGATTGGAGGTTGTTCACGTTTGCCAAGCCTCGGCAAACGTGTAAACTATACGTAACAAGCAAGCTGGAGCTATGGCTTATGTAACCCAAGTTATTAATATATACGCAATATCTCTTTTTTACTATTCACTTCTTATCTGCTTTTTCTATTTATATTCTTTAAATTTTCCCATATAATCTGTAAAATTACCGTGGCAGAGCTATGCTTCGTCACGAATGGGCCAGCTCGACCGGAGTGATACCTCGGCCTCACAGAAAACCGGTGTTAAGCAATTCTTTCGTTGCCTTTCACTGAGTGAGTGAGGTTACTGGAGCCCAAATCCCCTATCTCGCTGACTCGAGCGGGAGGGACTCCCAGGGCAGCAACGCACTTGTGACTTTTGAGTTGCAGGTGTCCATGGGCGGCGGTAGTTGACCCAGGTGACCCGTCTGCTCGTTTGCCCCCTTATACCATAAAAAAAAAAAAAAACACCTTTTACGTAAATGGGACTAAAATATTCTGATCATATAGTGGCCAAATATTCAGGGATGTCCCTGAATGAGGCGTGATTGTAAGTATGTATGTACATAGTAAATCTTTGAAACTGTTTTGATATTTATTGCCATCGGAATTTCTCCTTAACTTTTAACGATACAAGTCTATCATCCAAAAAAATTTTTACGACTGTTTTTATTTTCATCCCTTTTTTAAGAGGGTGGAGTAACGGAACCATTATGTAGAGGAAACATTATTTCCGCTCGTTAAGTCAAGCACTTTGCACTTTGATGAATGCTCACTAGCTTTCTATTTGTGATATTAGGGTGCATCTCGATAGATGGATGCTGTGAAAGTTGCTCGAAAGTGGTTCGTACGTCTATTTGCACATTTAATGATGAAACTCTACTTGACATGGTTAGGTTTATGAAACTGTAAGTACCTGGCTTCGACGTATTTCGTTCTATGACTCTCTTAGGTAAGCTTTTGTGTTGCAGGTTTAGATTAGTTTTTTTTTCTTTTAGAAAATATAAGTGTTCTAAGCCAGGTAAAAAAACCTTAGAGATTTTCGATGTATGTTATAGTTTTTTTTTTAAATAATTTAACACATCTCACACGGCTGTCTGAAACCAAACTAAGTCGAGCCTGTAATATGGTAACCAGACTGCTGATAAACTTGTATATTTATAAATACATACATATTATAGACTAGCTGACCCGCGCGACCTCGTCTGCGTCTCTCAATAGTAATAAATTTTCTCCGTTTTTGAAACATTCTTCATTGGTGCTCCGCTCCTATTGCTCTTAGCGTGATGATATATAGCCTATAGCCTTCCTCGATAAATGGGCTATCTAACACTGAAAGATTTTTTCAAATCGGACCAGTAGTTCCTGAGATTAGCGCGTTCAAATAAACAAACAAACTCTTCAGCTTTATAATATTAGTATAGATAAATTACACTCAGACAAATGATCGAGTTCATCACAAAATATTTGTCCTGGGTGGGAAACGAAGCCACGACCTCCGGCTTAAAAAAAATAAACATTTTCACGGAGTACAATAACCATGGAACTTAATATTCGTGTCCGAATTGATGAAAGATTGAGGCGGTTGTGTTAAAGTAAAATTCCTTTTCACTGAATAGTAAACCTCCGTTCTATTATATCCGTTTAATTATTCGAAATTCAACCACACAAACCCTATACCAACCGGTCTGGCCAGCGTGGTATAGTAGGCCAAAGCCTCCTTTCTAAGGAGAGGCCTATGTCCAGCAGTGGACTATTAGAGGCTGTAGTAGCTGTGTTTAGTATCTAAAATGTTATAGGTAAATTAATTTTAATCAAACGCTCATTCATCAGTTATACAAATATGTGTGAAACCTAAACTAGTAAACCCAAAACAATAATTAAACTTTGTTTTAACAGACATAAAGAAGCAATTCATACATCAGCCATCATCAGCTACTGTGGAAGCTGGTAAAACAGTAACTTTTAGGTGTGTCCCTCCTCCAGCAGCGCCCACGCCTACCATCAAATGGACAAGAAATGGCATCACCATTGAACCAACAGTAGAAACTCTTGTCCTGCCTAAAGTTACCTTACAGGTGAGTGTCTTTTTCCCTTCTTTTATCTTCTCCTCTATTGAATTTACTTAAGATACTTGCGGTATAGTAATTTCTTCTATATATCTATACTAATATAGGTTTTTAATTGTTTGATTGTTTAAACGCGCGATTGTTTAAAGTTTTGAAACTATTAGTCTGAGTTAAATAATAATTGTTTTACTAACTTTCAATGAGAAAATTTATAGTCTCCATCATCACGTTACGATCCTTAGGGTCGGAGCAGTGATTATAAACGCATATAAAACAATGGGGTACGGATAGTTTTCAAATAAAATCCTTATTCTGGGGAGATAAGAATTGTGCTCTTGGTGGAAATGAATTTATGTCTGTCTTTTCGACGGGCCTGTTGGTTTAGTGGTTAGTGGCCCTGACTGCTAAGCGTGGGTTCGATTCCCACCCAGGACAAATATTGTGTGATGAGCACGGTCATTTGTTCTGTGTCTGGGTGTAATTTATCTATAATATGTATGTATTTAAAAATATATAAGTATGTTTATCAGCAGTCTGGTTACCATAGCACAGGCTCTGCCTAGTTTGGGATCAGAAGGCCGAGTGTGAGATGTGTGAGGTTATTATTATTATTTTATTATAATTTAGAACAATAATTGTAAGACAAAAGCATTAAGACTATAAGCATTTAGAGAGTGATTGTACAGACACATCGAAAAAACTTTAGTAGCGCCTTACAGAATCAGTAGCTACTAAGTAATTCGGATTCTTTGCACTAGATGGCTCTAAACTATGCATTAGTTTATCTATCAATGTTTCTACAATTTACAGCATATTTATGATGCTTACTTTTAATGTTAGATAGTCCCTTTGGTTTAAGAATTTTATACTCTATAATTCTATACTAGCTGATCCTGCAAACGTTGTTTTGCCATATACATAAAATAAAAAAAAATTGTCAAAAAAAAATTAGGGGTGTGAAAAATAAATATTGGCGGATTCTCAGACCTACCCGATATGCAACACAAAATTTCACGAAAATCGGTAGAGCCGTTTCGGAGGAGTTCAACTTCTAACACCGTGACACGAGAATTTTATATATTAGATATAGCATTACGCTACGACCAAGAGAAGTCGAGCCAATATTGCAAAAAGGGGCAAATATATTCTTTTTGAGGCACGCAGACCAAGTTATGCTGGTCAGCTAGTTGGTATATCAATTTCTATTTATTGCATTCCATAATGTACATTCAGGTGGTAGGCTTAAAAGTAGGTAACAATTATGGACCCTGTCGGGTACAGCACTATCAGGAGAGAGGAGGAGCTGCCTAATTATGCTAGTTTTAAGAGCTTCATTTCAATACCAACATTTTCTGCTTTAAACGAGATAAACTAATTAAACCAAATAGTATATTTAACTTACATGTTCATAATAGGATGTAGTTGTTGATAATTTAACAAATTAGAGCTAAGTCTCGATAAATGTAAGGTTATTACATTTACCAGAAAACGAACATTTAGTACACATAATTATTCTATAGGCGGCCACAATCTAAACAGAGTACAAACTATCCGCGATCTTGGAGTCACATTGGATACTAAGTTAACACTTGACGCACATGTTGATAACATATGTAGTAAGGCTTTTAAAATGTATGGGTTTGTACTGCGACCCAGTAATGATTTCGTACGTCCTAATACATATCTACATCTCTATAAGACCCTAATCCGTTCACAGTTGGAATATGCTGTATGTGTTTGGGATCCTTTCTATGTAAAATATTCCGATAGCTTAGAAAGAATCCAAAAGAAATTTCTGCGTTGTATGCACTATAAATGCTGTCATAATTTTAAATCGTACCATCAGCTTTTGGAAAAATATAAACTGTTAGACTTAAGGTCCAGGAGAACACAAATGCAAGCTATGTTTTTGTGTGACATTTGCCAAAACAGATACGACTGCATTGATATTGTCAATAATATTAATTATAGATTGCCTACTAGATCGTGCATGCGGGCCTGTCGTTCAACACATCTATTTGCCATACGATCATCACGCACAAACGCAGGCCTGCGTGCACCTAGTCGTCGTATATTGAATTCTTACAACTGCAACTTTAGTCACATTGATATTTATGAAAATAGTGCGAGCGTTTACAGAAACCTAGTAACGAGGGAACTGCATGACACTATGAACTAATATGTTTATAATACATAATATTGAGAAATGTAGGTACATTTGTCTGAAATACTCTCAACCTGCTAAAATTGTATATACATCATACTTGTGGTAAACGGTGTGGATGTCACAATTAGCAACGATGTATAGCTTAAAACTCTATTGTAACCATCTATTATTGTGATATTGTTAGTTTACCCAATAAACTATAAAAAAAAAAAATTATGAACAATGTCAGTACAAAATTAGTTTACCATTCATTGTATATCAATTTATTGCATAGTCATCAATTTATTGTATACTATAACAGTTACCTTTGTCCAGGACATGGCTAACTACACGTGCGTGGCTGAGAACTTCGCTGGACGGAGAGAGTCTGACGTCGCTGTATTGTCTATCTACGGTATGTTATTACTCGTAATAAAAGCTAACCATTGTATTTGCATCCGGTGTATAAGAAACATTGCTAGGATGTTAAAAAAAAGCCGTGTGGTGTCGTGGGACAACCGATAGGAACGAAGTTGTGACGATCGAGTAAAACTGATTCGACACGATTTTAATTACAACGCCATCTATGAAAGCGGCTATTACTTACATATCTTTCAGTTGGTTTCTAATTAAAACAATATATACGTTGGTAAAATCTCCTTGAGAAATGATTTCCTATCTATTCGATAGATGGCGCTGAATGACTGACAAGTGACAATTCAAAATAAATACTGAGATGAAAAGTGATGATTTCCTATTTATTCGATAGATGGCGCTGAGAGACTGACAAAAAAAGTGTCGTTACAACTTTTCGTGAGATTTTTTTCCGTCTAGCCCCCTTTCACAACGCGCGATAAGGAACTTCGTTCCAAAAGAGGTTTTTATAGTCATAAAATATTAGATACCGTGGGTAGTATTTTTTTAATGGTAATAGTAGCAAACGAGTATACGGATCACCTGATGGTATGTGACACCTGTATATTTGTCGCCCTTTCAGCCCCCAAGAATTTTTGGAGGGGGTTTGGAGGTTGGGCTCCGGTAACCTCTCTCTACCCACTCATTCACTACACTATCCGTGTGGTAACGGATTAACAACAACAGCACTGCACAGAGAAGGAAAACTTGAAACATACCCTATAACAACCCGTCTGGCCAGCGTGGTATAGTAGGCCAAAACCTCCTTTCTAAATAGAGGCCTTTGTCCAGCAGTGGACTATTAAAAGCTAATTATGTGATGACGTGAGGGGCAAGCGATGCGGTCACCTGATAATAAGTGACATCTGTATTTTTGCCGCCCTTTCAGCCCTTCAGAATTTTGGAGGGGGGAAGGTTCGAATCCTACGGAACGGGGTTTCGAACCAGTTCGGCTCAAACCCTGTTCGTTCGTTCGTCGTGATAAACAACTAAAGAATGGTTTAATTCTTATTTAACGAGCTGATCCATATGCTCCGAAGCATATCTCTTCCACGGTCATAACCATCTTAAGTAGTATTCTCATTATGATCGTAAGCGGGCCTGCGTCAGAGCTCAAAGGGGTAGCTGGGTTATCTAAGATAGGGTGCTTGTAATAAGATCAACGTACAGGTGGAGTTATCTGCTCGCTTTTTCAGTTCTATTCAGATGATTTTGATTGATTGTTTAAGAAAGAGTCACGATCCTTAGTAATGGGGGAATGACTAAGAAGAGAGACTATAGTTAACTCACATTATCTTCGTTACAGAGGACTTAAAAAGTTGTTATGCGTCACACTCCTAGTTAAGTTTCATAAATCTTCTATTAGCTATAGCTAACGACCGGATTGCGTAGTGGTTTGTGTATCGGACTGCTACTCCAAAGGTCGCGGGTTCGATTCCCGCTTAAGTCTAACATTTGTGTGCATTGAACATTTAATGTTTGATTTAGTCTGGGTTTTTATAGGTATAATATGTATGTATTTACAAAAGAAAACGTACATATGGAATTATATCAGTTGTCTAGTACCTATACTACAAGCTCTGTTTAGTTTGGGACTAGATGGCGTTGTGTGAATATGGTAGAATATTATTATTTCGAGGTCATTTGTCTTCTATAGTGTTAGTTACATAAAACCAGTGGGAGAACAACCATTTAAACATAATACAATTAGCACAAATAACTGATGTACTGAAAAAGGGTAGGACAAAAAAATACTTAGAACTGGCAGTGTTGTATTCAAGATTATGTGTCTGTAGTGGCAGTGTGAAGTATGTTATAAGACGCAAGTGGCACGTTATTGTCTCTGCTTACCATGAACAGAGAAAGGCGTGAGGATATATGTATTTATGCGTTACTATTATTTGTTAGTAAACGGGGGATGGTCGGAATGGTCACCATGGACCCCATGCCGCTGCGGCACACAGACGAGCGGGCGTCGGCGCACGCGCAGCTGCACAGAGCCAGCGCCCGCCAACGGCGGCGCCCCGTGTAGGGGACAAGCGACTCAGAGTGATGAAGAATGCGTGACATGTAAGTTTTAGTTTAATGGCTCTATTTATAGTTCTGTCAATCATGACTTAAAACCAAATGTAACAATAAATCTATCGTATTTTTTTATTAAGCGTGTTTTAGGAGTCAATCATATACCAATTTTAGATCTCCTTGGATAAACTACGGCTTGCAATAAAATGGTTTAAACCTCACCCACTGAACTAATTCGACCTTACTTCGAACGCAGCCATTGACCTGAGTTAGAAATGTTTAATTAGAAAAATAGTAACGTGGCAAATACTTGAATGAATGTGAATATAGAATAAACCGTAGAAAGAAACGCTTAAACGCACAAGAATTAACAAGCACATTGACATAAACAACCTACTCCAGGTGGAACTTGGTCACCTTGGAGCTCTTGGTCTAGTTGTAGCGGTGACTGCGTCAGGGTCAGAAGACGTCAATGTACTGGTAACTGTGCTGGATCTACGCTTCAACATGCAGCTTGTGTGGATGGACTGTGTACTACTGGAATGAGTAAGTTTTTAAAAGTTATTTTTATAATCAGTTTTTATGCTTATTTTAACGTTTGTAAGAGGTTGTGGGTGTCGTAAGAGGTGACTTAGGAAGCAAATTACGCACAACAACAGTAGTGCGAAGAGAAGGAAAACTTGAAACAAACCCTATACCAACCCGTCTGGCCATTAGTTAGTTATAGTTGGTAAAAACATCCTTTCTAAGGAGAGGCTTGTGACAAATCTGACGAAAATTTCAGTTTTGATAGTGGATATTTGTGTTACGATATTCCCATTTTTTAAATTAGTGTGTCTCAACTTCCGACATACTCGTACAATGGATGTTTTTATTGTTTTTGATGTCCAGCAGTGGTTGATGAATGTTTGTAAATAGCATTCGTTATACTACGGAACTAGTTCCCTTATAGTATGTTTTCGGGCTTTAATGGTTAAACTACTTAATTCCAAATTTAAAAAGAAAATAGTGCGCTCAATGTGCCAGTTCTTTCTCTAATATTATTTTGCAGTTTTTAGTTTTGATCATTTTAAGTAGGAGCCGAAAGCTAAATTATTATAGCGATGCTGGTTAATCTGTATTGTACATATTCTTAATTAATTGGTAATGATTACACATTTAGTTGTACCGTTGTGCTGATCTTTTGTAAAGCGATTTCAAAAAGGAATCGATTTAAGTAATTATTTCTTAAAATGAACTGGTTGCATTAAGGAATCCCATTTAAATTTGAAGAAAATATTCCCCTTCTAAGGGTGGAAAATTAAGGGGAGAAGTTTACAACAGTTAGGGGTATTGAAGTCACTGATACATTTTGTTTAAAGTTAATAATTCCTGTTCAGGATTCTACACAAACAACACTACTCTGTATGTAGGAGTTGGGATCACGATTGCAATGTTGCTTGCTGGAGTCGCCATATTTTACGTCTGGTGTAAGTACAAGAACAGGCCTGGATACGCAGCTGGCAGAATAGGTAGGTATTATATTGTATGTGTAAAGCTAGACTTAATCTCGGTAACATTTTTGATTACTAAGTGCGGGTAGTTCAACAAAAGAGGCGTACCTCAGTCCATTTGAGACCACGATCGGTGAATAATGATCGAAATACTTTGTTAAAAATTACCGAAAAAAAGGTCTTTTATTTACACATCAAAAATGTACACGAGATATGTATGTGTATGTATTCCTTCTAAATATAAATGACCTTTCTATCATCAGAGGTGTTTTTCAATATTCAGGTATACCAAAGACACATCCAGGTCGAGACAAGAATAACGCAGCTCCTGATCTGACAAGGACTTGTAACGAATATTGGATGCAGGGTCCAGACAACCACTATGATATGCCACATGTTCGAGACAGGTTTGTTTTTTCACGTATGCAATGGATTAAGCAGAAATGTACAAGAATATAATAAATTATAGTTTAGAAACATTAAAAAAACACGCCGTTATAGAGAAGAAAATAATCAATTTTTAAGAGAAGAAAAGAAAATTCTGATATTGACATCTAAAATAGTTATTTAATTACAAATAAGGGCAATAGAAACGTGTTAATAGAAAATAAAGCTGACAGATTTAGTATGAATGCTTAGTCTTCGGTACTAAGCATACATACATACATATAAAAATGTTATACCAACGAGTTACTATTACAAATAGACATCTTTTTACAATATATATATACATAATTTGCAGACTTTTTGGTATCTAAATATCGTTAATTTCCATACGTATTCAAATTCACGTTATGTTCCAAACGTACATATACATGTATAAAAGTGTGCTCATGTGTATATTTAAGTACTTAATAAAGTCTTGATATCATAAAAAAAATAACAAGTCTCTTATTTTGAAGACACAAATTTTTTTTTATTAAAAATCACCGAGATGATCGTTCTTATTCCAAACTTAAATAATTATACATATATAATAATAATAATTATGCTCTTTATCACAAAAAAAAAAGAAAAAAGTATTATTAAAGTAGTAAAAGTAAAGCATTATTAGACACAATTTAAGTTCTTTAAATTTAGGGGCGGAATTATACCTTCAAGTTATGCATGTATTTATAATCTAATGGGTGTTATAATCCTTACAGAATATTTTCACAAAGAAGAAGGAAAAAATTCTCTTGTGAATATATTGTTGTCTACAAGTAATAACTTTTCACATCCATTTCCTTCATGCGCCATTATTTTTCCACCCCTAGCTATTCATCCCCATTTGGGAACCGCAGTAGACAGCAGTCGTCAACCGGAAGTAACCATTACGAGATGAAGCCTTACAGCCCTTCCGGTGACTCCGCGTCCAGTTGCTACACCAATTGTGAGTGGTATTGTTATGTTATTGTGTGAATGGGAAAAATATTGTCATTATAACAAGGGGTGGAGGAAATAGGGGTTGAACTGTAGATAACTTAGTAATGCGGTAATGTTGTTTACTCGTTTTCTTAAAATAACAAGTTTTTTTATTTAAAGCACTAAATTTTAGACTTTCACACACACACTAAGTCGCTGGAAATTTGTTGTCTAGTAAATATACAAGGGGGTACGGTAGTGCCCTCGCCAAGCCTAGCAAAACAAAGAGGCACGGCCGTACCATCCTTTTCTCGATTAGTTTTACTAAAAGTTTTAGCAGTGGGGACCATGCTTCATCACATATAGTCTTCTAAATGTTATCTAAATTGTTTTTTTCGAGTAAATATAAGATTTTAATTACTCTTAAATTGCAGCGAGAACAATGACATCAAGATCAAGCGAGTGCTCATCGCAATTGGCGGAACTGACGTCATCACCGGTATCTAAGGTGGATGTAGCAGTGACACTGCCTTCAGGACACATAGACACCAGTTATAGAGATAAAATATGTTTAACTATTGTCAAGTGAATTTGTACGGTTACTTTAGTTTAAAGGAACTAATGATAGTTGCGGTGTTAGATAAACGGATTTACGTTAGTTGCTGTTGATGATTTGAGTGTAGTTGATGATGATGAAATAGGGTGTTTTTATTGTTTATAAAAAAAATCTCCGTGGCATTATAATATTTTTATTTGTAACATCTGTATTATACAAGTATTACAGAGATATGTATCCAATCATACATATTTTAAGGTCGTATAATAAAGTCTGTACATAGACATAAAGCGCCAACAATTTTCCGAATATTTTTTATCAGCTTTTTGTCGACAACACATCATCCATAGCTTTTACTAGTCCACTGCTGGACATAAGCTTCTCCTTAGAAAGGAGGTTTTGGCCTACTATATAACGCTGACCAGACGGGTTGGTTTAGGGTCTACAATACATAACGCTCATATTATTTTGACTACATCCGTAACACTCTTTTTCATATCATAAAAAATATATATTATTTTTATGATATGAAAATGTTGATTATTTCATTCAAAGTTTTTCTTTTTATACTGAATAAAAAAATAAAAAAATTTAAAAGCCTCAGTTAAGTTGACAAATTGATACAACGCAAGAATTGAAATACGGTTTCCAACGAGATATAAATAAATAATATACTCTTTAAATAAATCGTACTACTATTATAGAAGCGAAAGTTTGGATGAATTTTTTTATTACTTGGTTACGACAGAACTGCTGAGCAGATCCTGATCAAATTTTGTCAGAGATAAATTATATCCAGAACAGCATATTGCCTATTTTTATCCTGAAAAAATTGATAATAAAATTTAAAATTAACTCCATCCAAATCACCAGTGAAAGTTTGTTTTTAATTAAAAAGTCAATACACTCATTACTTCTTATTGAAATATTGCTTAAGTCTTGATTTATGCATCAATATGTATGTCAAACAAATCATTGACAATTTAAAAATAACATTGAATTTACGCTTAGAAGATGAAAAGCGTTTTATGAAATTTATAAAACGCTTGTGACAAATCTGACGAAAATTTCAGTTTTGATAGTCGATATTTGTGTTACGATATTCCCATTTCTTAAATTAATGTGTCTCAACTTTCGACATACTCGTACAATGGATGTTTTTATTGTTTTTGATTTTTTGTTTATTTATTTTGACATTTGTATATTGTAGCATCATTAGCGATTGTAGTTTGAGAAGAAATGATCATAATTGTATTATTTAAACTTAATGTTATTATTGATATTTAAATGATAATATTAATATTTAAACTTGAGAGCTAATTTAAGTATAAATGTCGTTTATGCCCAAATCAAAATGGTTTTTTTTTTCAATAAAAGACTGAAAAGTTTTAACGACAACTGCCATTTTTGAAGCATTTATGTGAATATTGTTTTATATGCGTTGTATATTATTATATAACTGTCTTACGAAAACACAAAAGAAATATCTACTTGTAACTATAAATATTACACAAGATAAACAGACAGAGATCTTTAGCTATTAATGTACTAAATTAATGTAATTTTTTGTAATTAAATCTGTGATATTAAATAAACTAATTTGTAACTTGTATCTGTAATTTTATTGACTAACATTGAAATTAAACACTCCCTTAGTACTGCCATTAACTTCACTCAAACTGCCATAAATTTAGAGAAGGGCTCAGATTACATTGATTAGAAAAAAATCCTAACCTAAAAAAAAATACTTGTTCTGATTGACTGATTCATAAACGCATGCAATGCAACGCAACGCAACGCAACGCAACGCAGCAACGCAGCAATGCAACGCAACAAGTTTGGCAGCTGATGCTTATTATGTTAAAAGCATTCACTAGGAAAGAATTTTTAGAAATTTCACCCACCATTTGAATTTTTGGAGCAAAATAAGTAATTAACGGTTGTATAGAAGTTTGTCATTTTCAAAGATAAAAACAGCAGATAAGAAATAATCACAATTTCTAAAATCAAAATTATAAAAAGTAAAAAATAGTTCCACCTGCTGATGGACTTAAGAAATGGAGGGTGGAAAAATAAATTGACCATCGTTACCATGCCTAGTCTAGAGTTCTCATGAAAATAAATTTATTATTTTCATAAATAAAACATAAAGGAGATGTTGCAAGCCTCGTATACAAATTGGGCCTGAAGCGGCCATTAATAATAATATAAATAATATCTCACACATCCCACAAATGGCTGTCTGATCCCAAACTAGGCAAAGCCTGTACTATGGTAACCACACTGCTGATAAACATACTTATATATTTCTAAATATATACATATTATAGATAAATTACACCCAGACACAGAACAAACGATCGTGCTCATCACACAAATATTTGTCCTGGGTGGGAATCGAACCCACGACCTCTAGTTTAGGAGTCAGGGTCATTAACCACTAGACCAACAGGCCCGTGATATACCGACTAATTACCGTACTATTTTTAGGACTGGAAATAAATACCACTTTGAACTACTGAGTTGATCAAAAGCAAAACGTATTACATCAAAATATTTTTGCAAACTTAAAATAGTGTTTTTAAAAGACAACTCCCGCACTAGGAATATTTTCTGTGTTGCGGGGGACTTTACAAACATACATGAAACGGACACAAAGAACACCCAGACTCAGAACAACAATTTGTGGATCACACAAAGTGTCGTCCAATGTGGGGATCGAACCCACAACACTCAGCGTAGTAGGAAGCGGCCTGGCGATTGCTTAAACCACTACGCCATTCGTGCAGCCGAATTGAATAAAAATCTTTTTTTTTTTTAAATAATCATCAACTTTGTGGCCGCTCTCTGCCTGAGTTTCAAGTACTCATAAAAAAACAGATCAGCAGGATACCAATTCTTTGCATTGTCATCTAAACATCCTGCTTCTCGTTACATAGGAGTCACAAGCTTTTTTGAGGTGCAAATACCATATTTTCTTGAAGGTATGGAGGGCGTATCAGTTCGGAAATACCGCATGCGATAGTTACAAGTGGATCTAAAAAAAACTTGTTAAAAGAAAGAACTAATAAGTAACCTTTATTAAGGGTTAATAATTTAACCTCCTAAACAGTTATAATAGTAATAAAATAAAAATAATGTAAATCAATATTAGTCTGGTTGGTATTTCAGCTAAAGAAACATATTAGAAACATTGTTTACAGTGATATCGTCATCCTCAGAGCCTTTTTCTCAAACTAGGTTGGGTCGGCTTTATGTCTACTTCGACATGGCTAAACATCGATTCTTTACGTAAAGCGACTGTCATCAAAACCTCCACAACCCAAGTACTAGGTGATATCGAAGTTCTGTAGATAGACTGTTGTCGGACTATTTAGGGCTCCATGGGCGTAACGATTGCCACAGATGTTGGTATGGCAACTGGGACCGACGCCGTAGCTTGCTCTCCGAGGCGCATACATCAATCATTTTCTACTTTTATAAATTCTTCAAATATCGAGTACCCTCAAAAACCTACATATACAAATCCTATATACTCGTATTACTATGCACGATCATACGAATCGTATTTAAAATTGTATAGCCGCATAAAAATATTTCCTCCTTTCCTATAATAAATAAAAATAGAACCTCCTTCAATCATTATATTGAGACATACAAAAGAAACAAAATACAACTCGCAAAAAAAAAGCAACTGATTAAAACGAGATTCATTAAGAATACGGAGTGTCACCACCTCCATTCATCCCACGGGTGTAGTATGAGCCGACTAAAACAGCAGCTGCAAAGAGAAGTAAAGCTTGAAACAAGCCCTAAACCAATCCGTCTGGTCAGCGTGGTATAGTAGGCCAAAAGCTCCTTTCTTAGGAGAGGCTTATGTCTAACAGTGGACTGTTATGGGCTGTTGATGAAGTGTCAATCTAAAATGCGGGCAGTTAATATCTACATACATCTAAAACTAGAATCACAGGCGAGCTGTATATGAATATGTATCATGATATTTATACTTCAATACAAGTGGACCGTAAATACTAAGCTATGAATAAATCTTCAATAATTGCTGCGTAATCTTCGTACCGGTAATAATTACTTGCTTGCTTCAATCCATTAAACTAAGATGGTAGCTTCTTGAGCCGGATCTATTCATGGAAGAGTGTCAATCCTTACACTATATCTACTAATAAATTGGTGATTAAATTAGTATAATAATAATAATAATATATCTCACACACTCACACACGGCCGTCTGATCCTAAACTAGGCAGAGCCTGTACTACGGTAACCAGACTGCTGATAAACATACTTATATATTTCTAAATACATACATATTATAGATAAATTACACCCAGACACAGAACAAATGACCGTGCTCATTACACAATATTTGTCCTGGGTGGGAATCGAACCCACGACCTCCGGTTTAGCAGTCAGGGTCACTAACCACTAGACCAACAGGCCCGTCAAAAGAAAAAGACACGAGGACAAGGAAAATATCAAATGTAGGATACCCGTTCTCGGAATTTTATCTAATAGCTTACGAATACCTAATACGCTTTCTGCATAAATGCGGTGCAATACTAAATATTCATCGTAATTGATAATACGAATAACGACTGTAAAATATATATAAATAACTATATAATTAAAAATTTAAACAAATTCTTAGAAAGAAAATACCGATCCACATCGACCTGGCTTAAAGGCTTATAATAATAATATACTTTTGTACGATCTCCTTATCGTACTCACAATTAGTTTTTGCTCTTCACATAGGTAGAATACGAAGTGTCACAATCCCTTTTCATCCCGTGGGTGTCGTAAGAGCCGACTTAGGGAGAACACTACGCAGAACAACAGCACTGCAGAGAAAGGGACAACTTGACACAAACCCTATACCAGCCGTCTGGCCAGCGTGGTATAGTAGGCCAAAACCTCCTTTCTAAGGAGAGGCTTATATCCAGCAGTGGACAATTAAAGGCTGTTGATGATAGGTATAGGTAAATAATTTCTTGCTCACGGTGCAACCTACTTTT